CCCCCCCCCCCCCCCCCAAGAAAAAAAAAAGGTATAATTGCCCATTTTTAATGGAATTTTTACCCTAAAAAGGTCATCTAGAATTTTCGGGAGCCTTTTTTCTGGCTGAAATTTTCGAAAAGGTAAGTTTTGATCCCTATAATTTTCGGATCATTAGACTTTCAGCTAGGAAATCCGAACGGATGAAAAATTTTTAGGGGATAAAAATATGCCTATATCTACCGTTTAAATACTAAAATACGTTCAACAATGCCATGTTTAAGTGGTTTTGAACTATACTCTCGTTGGGTGCCCCTGGAAACTGTGTCCCAGCGTAAGAAACGTCACTACTCTGGATGACGTCAAGGCGGACACCAACTAAACTCGACAGCTCCACGCTGGCCTTTAGCCTCCCACGCAGACGTTCTTAGGGGTTCGTCACGCGTTCCTGCCCCACGAACGTCTGCGGGCTCGAGCGGAAAAAAACGTAGACCAATCACAGCAGACCTCCAGATCTGGGAAGTGCACTTTGGATCTTGAGAAATTTCGCGCTTGACTTTATCGCTACAGAAAAGATCAGAAAGGTCTCATGAAAGGTGAAAACCTTACAGTTTTAGAACAAACTGCTCAGTTAACTCACAAGCGTTCGTACTAGTGGCTACCCTCGCAAAAAATTACCTCGGAGGTTAAATTTGCTGAACGGAAGTCGGCTTTACTACAAAACAATAACGTGTGAAAAAATTTTTTTGCCTTTTGCTCAGCCTTACAAGTTAAATCCCGCCGTTGCATCACCCAAAAGAACAACTTTATGAGCAAACGACATCTAATCCCTCGTTTACAGAGAGAAATATACAGAAACCCAACGCGCATCTTCTAGATTCTCATCCGGAGCAAAAATCTCTGGTCACGTATCACTAGCCTGACTATCAGGTCTTCCTAAGGGGCTAGAGGAGAGGAGTTGTAAACGCCTGATACTCAGGCTATGTAGCACACTCTACAGAGCTTGTACCTATGTGTCTGGCTCGTCAACACTTTGAATTCAACAGTGCCGATTGGATCTAAGATAATCTGTTTGAGATCTCCAGCTGATATTTGCGAACAAAGGGAAATGAATTTATCTTTCGGTTCAGCAGACGTTAGTGGGGCAGGAACGCGTGACGAACCCCTAAGAACGTCTCCGTGGGAGGCTAGCTGGCCTTGAGATGCTCGTGTGATACACGTGCGCTTCGCGCGCGACGAGATTATAAACCTCGCGGCTCGGCGCTTCGCAAGGAAAAATTCGTTTGCACACCACTGTTGTACTGCACAGAGGTCCGCCTAAAGATTTGAACCAAGAAAGCTGATTTTGTACACATTTCTATTGGTTCAAAAGCCCCACGTGATCGCGTGAGTCACTAAGCGGAGAGGCCTGGAAGCCAGTTCAAGCACCAAACACTAGCGGCAAATCGACTGCATTATCGAGAAGATGTCTGTTTTTAAAGGCTTTAAGTTTTGGTTCTTTTCAGAGGTAATTGCACTATTCCGACGGTCTGAAGCTCATGTTCAATAGATTAGTTAATTTTCTTGATAAACATAATATACTAGATGATAATCAATTTGGTTTTCGTAGTGGATGCTCCACTACTCACGCTTCTATGCTTATCACTGATAAAATCCAAAGAGCCATTAGAAAACAAATTATACTCCTGCGGGAATTTTTTGGACTTAAGTAAAGCCTTCGATACAGTAGATCACAGCATTCTCTTGGCTTAACAGGAACATTATGGACTTCGTGGTTTACTAAATGAGTGGTTCTGCTCATACTTAACTAACAGACAGCAATTTATTTCTGTAAACAATTCAGATTCAGACCCACTGTAAATAACATGTGGGGTTTCACAAGGCTCTGTGCTTGGCCTAGTATTACTCCTGATTTATATTAATGATTTCTCCAATTTTTCATCTGTTTTTGACTTCCATTTATTGGCTGATGATTCTAATCTATTTTGTACCCATAGTGATTTACAGCATCTTGAGCAAAATGTTAATTGAGAACTCAGTTAAATAAGCCCATGGTTTCGTGCCAACAAACTATCTCTCAATATTGCTAAAACACATTTTGTAATATTTCATCTTCATCAAAAAAAGATAAACAAATTCTTTGAACATTGAAATAGATGGTAAGCCAATTGATCAACAAAAAAGTGTTAAGCACCTTGGCATTCTCATAGACTGTCATCTCAATTGGAAAGAACGAATCCAACAAATTTCAAACAACATATCTAGGGGTATTGGTGTCCTATGTAAGATTAGACATTCTGTTGATACAAAAACACTAGTTCAATTATACCAAGCCATTATTCTTCCTTTTCTCTCCTATGGCTGTATAGTTTGGAGCAACACCTATGACCACAAAATTAAACCACTTCAAATAATACAAAGGAAAGCAATCCGTTAACTTGTTAACTTACTTTCTCTAATTTCGATGCACATACAAGTCCTTTGTTTGCTAAGCCTAACCTTCTTAAACTTCAAGATCATATTAAGCTTCAAACTCTCTTTTTTTATGCATCAATTTAATACTGGCAAACTACCAAAGATATTTGATTCGTTTTTTGTTAAAACATCCTGTAAACAAAATGTAAATACTCGCTTTGCATCTAGATCTACTTTCTATCTTCCAAAAATTCGAACAAATTATGGCAAATTAAATACTCGATTTAATGGACCTAAATTATGGAATTAACTCGATGAAAGATTCAAGTGTCGTACTTCCAATTAATTTTAAAAAGAACTAACTTCGCATTTCATTAGTCTCTATTAATCTTTACTGATATTTTGATGGTTTATATTTATTTATTTATTTATTTTTTGTTTTGTTCTGTATATTTACTTTTGTACCAACTTATGATATTTATGTGTACCAATGTATTTGCTCTGCCTCTTTTCTGACTTTCACAGTTTTAATTATCATAATTACAGTCACCCAACTAGTTTAGCTTTTTAGTTATTTTGGGTGTCCCACTACTGTATGTACTGTTTACTTCTTTATGTATAATTACATTCTTGTAAATTCTTTTAGCTGTCTTTAGTAGTAGAAATAAACTGTTGTTGTTGTTGTTGTTGTTGCCCTTGTGCTCAGAGCCCTTATTTCTTTATAGCTATACCATATTTTCGGTATGTATTTTCATAAGAAAAAAAAAAAGAAATCATAACAGTATCAAAACCTCCCATAGGCCTGATTTCCATTGACCAACTATCCCATTGTTTGGGCTTAGGGATCTATAATTCTGAGCAAAATTTCTTGTTTTGTTTGCATTTTTTAATTTTCCTTATTAACCACATAAATCACAAAATATATAGGAAAGAAAGAAATGATAATAATAAAACAAAACTTTTAACTAACTTACAACTAAACTAACAAACTAAACCGTGACAATCACTGATGTTTAAAGGGATACAGAAAAAAACAGAATTATAACAACAGTTCCAAGTTAACCACAACATCACATCTAAGTCTCATTTTGAGCAAGACTTCAATTCGATCTATGAACACTCGACGCATACGTGTATCTTAGTACACATCAATAAATTAAATTTAAAGATGAACACAACTGGCGCAGCCTGGCTGCATGCATGAAAGATTGGTGGTTTTCAACCAGGCGGCTATGTTGACGAAACACGACAATTTTTTTTCGCAGAATTTGCATGAAAAAATAAGTAAATATTAAAATAAACAAATAAATAAGAAGAGTTAAGTTCACAGAGGAAGGAAACAGGTCTTCTCTTGTCGGGTTTCATTTGACGTGATTTGACGCCAAATTTTATTTTTTTTCTCAAAACTCCATGCACCAGCACACGAAAACGAGACAAACTAAAGTGGTATTAAAAACAGAACTAGCCTACAAAGGTTGGTTATTTTAAGAAGAAAGCAGAAACAAACATACAGATAATAATTTATAATAATAATAATTTATGAACTTATTGTGCGCAGCTTAACATTAGAATGATAAGCTGCGCATTACAACTGCATTACTTTACAAGAATTTAATAAAAGATAATGCATTTAAAAATAAAAAATAAAAAGAAGATATATGCATGCAAGTAAGAACTGAATATAAAATTGCTCACCAATATAAAGTTCTAAAAAGATAAGTCTTAATATGCGCCTTTAAAACTGTTCACATTAGTAATCGCACGAAGTTCTTTTGGAAGAGAGTTCCAGAGCCTTGGCGCTGCTACCATAAAAGCTCTGTCACCTAACGTCTTCGATCGAACAGCTGCCATAGAAAGTAAAATACTACCTGAAGATCTAAGGTTATATAAGGACGATTTAAATGTTAGTAAATCGCATAGATATTTAGGAGCAAGGCCGTGAATTGCTTTGAACGTAATAAGCAGTATCTTAAATTGTATCCGGGCTTTAACAGGAAGCCAATGCAGACCACGAAGAAGGGGTGAGATGTGGCAAAACCTAGGGGCATTATAAACTAGCCTGGCTGAGGCATTCAAAACTCTCTGCAATTTGTTAAGCTGGTTTAAGTTAAGTTATATTTAGACAAGTATCCACGTTTTTAAATGTGGCGGAAGTAGTTTTAGGCTTGTTTAAAATAGGTATAACGATTGGCAACAAACGCAGAACGAGGCAAAAACATATTTATATCTTACTGATACCGTTTTAAGTAAATATCACGATTTCCTACTCGTATTAAAGCACAAAAACGTACCTTTTCAACCCCAAAACGGCGACAGGATTGAAGAGGGGCTTCCGATTCAGGCAAATGAGTAACCACGCAGTTATCGTTCCCAGACCACGCCGTATGGTCAGGTGGTTAGTAACAAGAAATACGTCATCCAAACAAGACTATTATTAGATATCGGGTAACCCTTAAGGTATTTGAAAATGACTCGACTTAAATCAAGGCGAATTGAAGATAAAACGAACCCATAGAGGAGATTAAAACGAAGGAGGGATATTTTTTTTTTCATTAAGGGAATTTTACACGATTTACACAAAGAGTCAAAGCTTTGAACGGGACAGACAGCATTCTCGTCCCCAGGGCCCGTCGTTTCTTGGTCAGTGGTCGGTTACAAATTAAGCCGAGTGGCTCTGGGGACGAGAATGGACAGACAGCATCTCCAGAGCAGAGCCCGTTCTTTCCTTTGAGTCAAGACTGCTGAATTTCTCTCCCGGGGACGAGGAGAGGGGAGGAGTATTCCCATAATTTTCGGATAGGTGTGTGCAGCCCAGGGTCTTAAACCCTGACACTGTTTAAGGATGAGATAAACGGAAACTGAGACTATGTTCACACAGCACCGGCGAATTTTCGTTGGGCTGGAAAATTTGCATGCCTTGACACTTGGTTCACACGCCGATCGTTCAATATTTTCGCGTTGTGTTCACACGGGACTTTTTTTTGGAGCGCTGGGAAGTTTAAATTTTCGTACGCTTAAGGTGGTTCCGTGTGAACGGAACGACTAAACGCATGAAATTTCAATCTGTCGAAAATTCGTCCGACGCCTTCGGGACGTAGCCTTATGGTCCAAATCCGCAAAATGACACCCTATTCAAGGGAAAAATAAAAACTAAGAATTTAATGGCGTCAAAACGCAAACCTTATTATCAAATTGCTTTCCTCATACTCTAAAGGATAGTTCAGTTTTAACAGATGACTTGGTTCTCGTGTAGCTGGGCATTTACGCACTTGAATT